CCTTCCTCTGCTTCCTAGTTCCCTATAAAACACTGAGTCTCAACTTTTTTAGACTCAAGGCACCACTCCATAATTTCTGTGGATTGATCAGTACCCGACTTGAAAAACTATTTTATTATAAGGCTTACCTCCTTGCAGAAGAGGCAGGCAGTTTGGGGCAGAGGAGTACTATGCAGGAAGAGCCTGAGCCTGACCTTTATTTGCTTATCTTCTCATGCCTGAGGCTGCCGTTATCTCCTCACACTTCCTGCAGCACCCTTCAAAGGATCTCAAGGCACCCCAGGGTGCTCTGGCATGCTGACTGAGAAACACTGCTCTAGAAGATTATTGCATGTTCCCAGAGGTACATATGCCCCAGTTTGAGAACCACCGTTATAGAAGGTTAAAGGGAAAGCAGCAGTTGTAATCCTCTTGCAGACAGCATAGTCTGTCTGCAGCCTTATTGTAGAAATAGCTCCACCTGTAGCCACAAATCCCTACTTTGCCTTCCTTGAGGGATCTTGTACTATTGGTGGTCCTCGGCTCCAGCAATATTTAGGGTCATGCATGTTTCTTGTGGCCCCTGTCAAGAGATCAGGGGACCAGGTTACCTGTACTTTCTTCACATTTACTGGTAGATGAACTAGGCAAAAACAAACCTTTTAACAACTGAAAAACATGAAGTGTCCCCCCTTGCCCTGTCCTGCTCTCCCAAGAATGTTCAGCAAGTTTGGTAAACCCACTCAGAAGCTTGTATTTTAGTTGGTGATTTGAGCTGAGATTAGAAACTGATTTACCTATAGTATTACAAATGGACTTTCTTAAGGAACTATGAACATATGTAATTGAAGTGCAGGTACAGACAGAAAATGATTGCGAGAAGGTCATCCTAACACTTCCTATCTTATCTTCATTTTGGTTACTTCTAAAAGCATTGCAGCAGGGTCAGCATCACTTCAGAAGATTTGAGGAATTTACACTCTAATAAAACCAGAATTTGTTTTGTAGATACAAGCTTGACTTTTGCATTTCTAGGAATTGGAAAAGACCTATACATGGAAACTTCTCCATGCAGATAGATTCCTGAGTACACAGGGATCCTTATTGGACTGGACAGGACAGACAAGAGGGGTGAAGACTTCCCTCACTGCAGTCTCATCTTGAGATTGTTGTTTTAGACTTGTCACTGAACAGATTTAACATGAAAGTCAGTGACAGAAAATACCTGTGGAACTCTGTGTTGTACATTTCACACATCAGCTCTTCTGACCCTAACCACAATTTAAACTAGAAATTTAGTTAAAAAAATATTAATGCTTAAAAAAGAATCATGGCATAAAATAACCCACATCACAAAGTGTGAACATCTTGGTTTGAGATCATTTTCATAATATGAATATAGATATTGTTACCCAGATATAGATACAGATTGGTCATATTTCCTGTATGAAAATACATATTATATATCTTATGTGAGGATGAGATTTTTTTTCCCTTCGGTGTGGGTTTTTCAGGTGTCTAAACTGCTTATGAATAAGAATTGTATTGAATGTGTGTTCCTAAATGACTTGGTTAGGCTTGAAAGTCTCACCTTTTTAGTTTCAAATTTCAGCTTCACTTGGAAAAAAAAAAAAGTCAAATCCTAATAAATCATCTGTATTGGGGTTCAGGAAGAACAGGTACATTTTCCTATGGTATATTACAAGCCAATTCCTAGAGTGGCTACTGGCAAATAGCTCAATCTTTGAGTGTGCCACCCATACCTGGAATAAGTGTGGACACAAGTATATGTGCTGATGTGTGTCTGGTCCTTCAGTGTAAACTATTGGAAACTGGATTGCCTGGCATGTACTTACATACTTGAGCAAGAACATAGATATGCACAGCCATGGAAATATACCATAAGGGTACTTTTTGATGCTAATAAATTCTTGTTAATAGTGATCCAGAAACAGATGTTGAAGATCTAACAGAAATCTATTAGACATTGTGGTTAGGGACAGACATTACACACAAACTGGTTTAAACCTGTAACAGAACAGATGTTCAGTGCACATAAACCAGTTTGAAAATGCCTAAAACAGGTTTGAGATAAACCTGATTTAATGTAGTATCAGACTTAACTGATTTGAGTCAAACTGGTTTATGCAATGTCTGTCCAAGACCCCATTGCTGGTTTAAGTTAAACCAGACACCCCCAATATCCCCAGCATGCTCTCTCGGCTGGGCTGGGCCAGGCTATCTGTTTCACAGCAGGGCTGGCCCCTGCCTTCTGCTCCCTGGCTGCAGCTCTAGAGACTTGTGGGCTGCTCCCCACCTCCCCCTCACCACTCCCTGCTAAACAGGAATTTCCCCCTCCTCTCTGCCTTGCTGAGATGTCTGCATATGAGCCAGCATGATGGCTACAGTCCGTGCTGTGGCACACGGGACAAAGGCAGAATCAACAGGTAGCTGGTAATGTCCCTCTGTTGTTTTCTTAATGGGGTGATGAACACTGAGTTAGGGGTGATAAACACTGTGGTATCAACTCCCTGCTGGGCTGGTCAGATGGGGGATGTACCCCTCCCTAATCAGAGCATCCTGTCAGGGCCTAGCCACACCCCCTTCAGCTCAGCATTATGGAAGGGAAGGGAGGGGCTGCTCTAGCACCTCCCAGCTTCTAGCCTGAGCCACTGCAGGCATGTGCCTGCATGTCTGGGATGTCTGCACAGTTACAAACTGATTTAGCTTAGCCAGGTTAGACTAATTTGCAAAGATTGAATCAATTCAGGCTCAGGCTTTTTGAATGTCTGTCCCTAGCCTATAGAATCTTTGCCTCTGTTCCTATCCCTAGCCATAAAAAGGAATATATGATAAAAGAGAATGAACATGATGATTACACAGAGGACCACAATCTGACCTTAATCTGGTGTGTGTGTGTGTGTATATTTGAAATTATATATATGAAATATATATAATATGTAATTGTGTATTTCTGTATGTGATGTATGTATCTTGGATGGTTTTTGTCATTATGTTACAGACACAGACATGCATACACCAGAGTTTTGGCAGCTAGTTTTGCACCAGGTAGACTTAGATTGTCATGATGATTTTCATCACCTGAGGACATGGCCCAAATCTACAAAATGTGTGAAACACTAATGATTTCATCTTCCACCTTTTTTCTTTTAAATTATTTTTAGTAAATAAAAGGATGCAGTTAACTGATTTTTTTCCCCTGATTTTAACCTACTCTTCTTGACAAAAAGCATCCAGTATTATTGTACAGGAAAACACTGTATTTATTTAAAATCAATTTTTTTAAACTATGGTTTTGGGATTACTTTTTTAACTGAAAATTGGGGATTTTTTTTTTAAATGGGAGAAAACCAGGATCCCTATTGGTAACATGACATAGTTGGTTTCACTGTTTCTCCACTATTTTCAGAGGTGCTAGGGTCATTTTCTTTCTATGGATTTTTACACAGCCAGAGACAAGAGAGAAACATTTCAAACAAATAGGAGAGTGTCATTGTAAACATAAATTAGCAGCATCTCAGAGGCAGCTTTTTCCTTTCTTTATGCATTATTTTTTAAATATGTTTGTGTTGTTTTGTTGGTTTTTTTTCTCTCCTGTGGCTCTCTAAGTGCTGAGAGGCATTAAGAGCCACATTATAACACCCT